CCTCCTTCCTCTTCCTTCCCTCTCCTACTACTAATAGGAAAAAGGGCGAGTCCTACTCCTGGTGGGAGTTGGACTCCCCCCCTTGGGCGCGCCACCCCCCTTGGCCGGCCCCCTCCTCCACTCCTTTATATACGGAGGATGGGGGCACCCCATAGACACAACAATTGATCCCTTGGATCTCTTAGCCGTGTGCGGTGCCCCCCTCCACCATAGTCCACCTCGATAATATTGTAGCGGTGCTTAGGCGAAGTCCTGCAACGGTAGAACATCAAGATCGTCACCACGCCGTCGTGCTGACAGAACTCTCCCTCGACACTCGGCTGGATCGGAGTTCGAGGGACGTCATCGAGCTGAACGTGTGCTAGAACTCGAAGGTGCCGTAGTTTTGGTACTTGATCGGTCGGGCCGTGAAGACGTACGGCTATATCAACCGCGTTGTTCTAACGCTTCCGCTTTCGGTCTACGAGGGTACGTGGACACACTCTCCCCTCTTGTTGCTATGCATCACCATGATCTTGCGTGTGCATAGGAATTTTTTTGAAATTACTACGTTCCCCAACACATGCAGTGATGAAGAAAAGGAAGGCATCAACTACTTCAAATTCTTCAGCTCCGAAGAAGATGAAGACGCCGATCAGTTCAATTGACAATCCAATTGATGGTGTTCCTGTCTCATCAATGCCATCAAAGGACCTTGTTCCTTATGGTGAAGAATATGAGATTCCCGAGGAATCTAATGAAGAAACTCCATCTGCTGCTTCAACAGAGCAGTTGGATGAAGAAATTGAAGTGGATGAGATCCCTTCAACCCCTGTCATGTCCTCACCTGCGCCTCAGTTCACTGCTGAAGAGGCCGGTGTTGAAGAAATTGAAGATGAGGATGTGGACATCGGATGTACCACACCAGTGCTCAATGATGACTTTTGGGAAAGTCAGCACCCCAATTCTCCACTGTTCACTCCTCTCCAAGCTGTTCCTCAGTCCCCAGCCACTACTGAAGTACAAGTGGGATCTGATGAACCTCGTTCAACCCCGTCTGTTCATGAAGATATTCCAGCCACTAGTGCTGAAGAAACTATGAATGAAGAAGTAATGACTCAGGCTGCAACTGCAGAAAAAACTGAAATTCCTCAGCATGAGGAACCTGAGATTGCGATTCCTGAGGTGATACTGCAAATCACTGACACTCCTCAGCCCAAGCCCAAGAATCCCGTCTCCAAGAAGCCAAAATTCAAGGCTGATGATTTCTTCGGCGAGCACGTATTCTTCACGGAATTAAACCCCTATGACAATGCTCGTCTTAAAAGGAAGCGTTTCTAGACAGACAGCCAAGCCAACTTCTATTCCTCAGTTCTTTTTGACAAGGACAAAGTCTTCGATCATGAGCACATTCCTCATGTGGACATGGAATCATTGCCATGCTTCACGCCGGTTCTCAGTATGCTTCACGATGCAGGCTTGCTGAATTTCTGCACTAGCATCATTAATTGGAATGAAGAGATTATTCTTCAGTTCTACGCAATTTTGCATATCACAGGCGATGCTGTTGACGTCAACTCATGGGTGTTGGACTGGATGACGGAAAACACTCATTACAGGGCACCTGCTACTGAATTGCTTCGTGCCCTGCCAATCAGTCCTCCACCAGAAGGCGCTCGCTGTTTGTATGATGAACCTGAACTTACTGATCATTATATGCAAGTGATCATGAAGCCGCTGAAGCCTGGACAAGCCCAACTAACCAAATTCCTCGTGAAGAATTTGCTGTATGTGCCAAGGACTATATATTGCATTCTGACAAAGACTATCAGCCCAATCAAAGGACATGATTCTTCAGATGAAGAAATTGTGGGGATGATGAAGAATATGCTCTTCAACATCATGCATGGGATTCTTATCAATTACCATGATTTCTTCATGAGGACTCTTGCAAATGTTGCACTTTCATCGTCTGAGCTGAAGCCTTATGTACCATGGATCATGAGATTCCTTAGATCAAGGTCTTCACTCAACTACAAGGCTGATACACTTAACCATGGCAGCTACTTGCCCCCAATTGAAGTCCTCAAGCGGACAATTTCCTCATCCGATGAGAAGGGCAAGTCACCAGCTGTGATCTATGAAGGCATTCATCCATTGGATGGTCAGTTCCGCAAAGCTGCATCTTATTCCACCAATGATGACTCTACCACACATGATTCTGCTGCTGATGCTCCAAAGTCAAGTCCTCAAGCTACTGCTCCACGTGTGATGACTGACCGTGAACTGCTCATAAGTCTTCACCAGAAGGTCGATCGGAATCACAAATGGTTTAAGCGTCAGTTTGGCTCTATTCTTCACAACATGACTTCTACACACAATGCAGTGAAGAAAAACCACTACTACCTCCATGAAGTGTTTGATCGCACCTGGGCCATTATGTCACATCTATATGGTGAAGAAGATCTGAAGCAAATGGGCTTCAAGGAAGACTTTGACTGGTCTGCACCTCCACCGAAGAAATTCAAGAAGGTCAAGGTTCCTTCCTTGGTGGCCAGCTCTTATTCTTCATCATGTGCCACGGACGAGAATGAAGACTTGGACGACACTGCAGCAGGCCCTACAACGACTCAAGACCCTGACAACATTGGCGCTCCTCCTTCATCATGATATTCTTCAGGGGCGTTAGTCCTCAGTTTCAACCCTTTTGGTCATTCGATGACAAAGGGGGAGAAATTCGAGTTAGTCTTCAAGCGGGTCTATATATGGGCATTTTTTTCGCTAAGTTACAACTCTCATTCTTCTGATGACTTTGCTGGATCGAGTTGTAATCTTAAAACTCTATGGTGGCTTGATACTTTTGTTGTGTTCTTCTGCATGCTTATTCCTCATTAATGTTAATGCACGCATGCTGAATCACATCAGTCACCATATTTTGTCATGCATTTCAAATTCCTCATATTATATATCAAACGCGTGTATGAATTACAAGATATAGGGGGAGATCTCCATGATTATACTCTTCAAGTGTGCATTGCTTCAAAAGCAAATTCCTCACTATGCACATCTTCAGGGGGAGTTCTTCTATATCTTGCAATCAAATTCCTCAATATCAGCATTTACACTTCACATATTTATCCCCGTTGAAAACTTAACCTATATTGTCATCAATCACCAAAAATGGGGAGATTGTAAGTGCATCTAGTGCCCCTTAGTAATTTTGGTGTATTGAAGACTTATAGGTTAAGAGACTGATGCATTTGTGAGTGTACACAGGTCTATAAGTCTACGAGGAGTTTGATATTTACAGAGAAAGTCGACCCCTAAAAATGAAGTTCTTCGTCTGAAGACTTTGGATTTCTGAAGACTTTCTGAAGACTTTGAAAGTGAAGAAATTGGTGTGACCTTGAAGACTTTGTATTCATTCGAGGAACATGAAGCGCGAAGACTTTTGTTTCCATAGTTTCATTTTCTGTTAAAGGGGGTTGAGGAAATACTAAGGAAAAATTTCTATGTGATGCTCAACTCAAAATCCTACACCTACCAATCCCTTCGAGTGAAGCCATTGGAAATCTCGCACAGTTCAACCATATTCTTCCGTGACAGAGACGAGGTTCTTCTGGTCTCTAAGGAGTTTGTTCTGACTGAAGAGTTAAGAATTTGCCAGTGCGGATTGCCTACCAAGTGAGGAACATGATAGCCCTGAGGAATTCGAACCTCAAACATTCCGACCGTTGCGGTGCTACGCGCCAGCTGTCCCAAAATATCTACCCACCTAACGGTCATATCAGATAAGGGCATTTATTTCTTATCATGCCGGGCTGCTCCCTAGGCTATAAATAGCCGCCCCCTACAACCACTAGCTGGTTGGCTGCTCCGAGAGAAACTGACACTTGTCATTTGAGAGCAACCCATCCTCCAAGGACTTTGAGCAAAAATCATCAAGTGAGAAAATCTCAAACCCAAACCTAAAAAACCCCAAGTGATTGAGTATCACTGAAGAGATTGATCCTGCATGGATCCGACGCTTGTTTCCTTTGAAGATTGTGCTTCTTCCAGACGGTTAGGCGTCAAGGTCTAGAGCATCCAAGAGGAATTGTGGATCACCGAGTCACCGAGTTTGTGAAGGTCCGGAAGTCACCTGAAGACTTACCACGAGTGATTGGGCGAGGTCTGTGTGACCTTAGCTCAAGGAGAATACGGTGAGGACTGTGTGTCCGGGATCGGGTGTCCTCGAGTTTAAATACTCAGCCGCTCCAACCAGATGTACAACTGAGACAGCAGTTCGAAGTGGTCTACCAAATCATTGTCTTCACCGAGCTTACTGGTTCTATTTCCTCAACTCTTTAAATTCCTCATGTATGTTGTTGTGTGCCTGTTCATATCTGTTTGAAGACTTTGACTGAAGACTTTCTCAATTTCCTCAGTTCTATTTCTTCAGTCTGATCGTCTTCTTCCTTGTGTTATCCTGTGTTTACGCTTTCTGTACTCTGTGCTTGTCTTTATTTCATCATGATGACTATGCCTGTGTTCTGTTATGTTCCTTTCTGAGTATTTATTCTGCTGCAAGTAGTTCTTCATTTAGGAATTTCCTCGCCAGCAAATTCCTCAGTGAAGAATACATAAAAATCGCCTATTCACCTCCCCTCTAGTCGATATAACTGCACATTGTCTTTCAAAAACCGGAACAATCCAAACCCAAAGGGCAATGTACCATGGGAAAAACCTAAAATATGTTTATTTCATAGATGTTCGGTTAGTTGTCTCGTACGTCCTCAGTTCCTCCTATGGTTGGCTCAATGGCTCGTTGCTTGCTTCGTCGTGTGTCGCATTGGAACTCCTTTTTCGTTTCTTTTTTTCTTTTTTTGGAGAAGGAGGAGATCCCCTGCCCCTGCCCCACTGTCTGTCGCATTGGAACTCTTGCGCGATGAAGACTCGACGAGGAGATTAAGCCTGCAAAACACTTCGAAATTCCTGAGAAACTGAGCTAGTTCTACGGTCAAATCAAGACACGAGAGGCCATGGCCATGGATTGCCTCTTGCTGGCCATCATCAACACCGTCTGCATCGGCGCCACGGCCATGATGGTCTACGCGTTCATTCAGCTGGCGCGGGAGCCCCACAGCAAGGGCTCCATCGCGGCCTCCCTTTACCTCCTCTTCTCGATCAGCCTCACGGCCGGCTTGTACACGGTCTACTGTCGCACCTTCTTCCAGCAGTCGGCTCTGTTGGTGCTTAGCCTCCGCCACCGCCACCGGGGCACTCCATGGCGCAGGCCGGCTTCTCTGCCTGCCGTGTCGGAGAGCGCGCGCCCGTCAAAACGTCAGCAGCGGCGGCAGCGCTCTGCCGCAGTTTCTGGGCCAGGCACCGAGTCACATGCCCGCGCTGGCCCGGGATCCACCGGTGCATGGTGGCGCGCGGGTGGTGACTGCATTTGGCATCCCGGCGTACGAGCAGCCGGAGGGCGGCGATGGGTCAGAGTGCACGATCTGCCTCGGGGAGGTGGAGAAGGGGGACGCGGTGAAGCGGATGCCGGCGTGCCTGCACATGTTTCACCGGCAGTGCATCGACCAGTGGCTACATGAGCACTCGACGTGCCCGGTCTGCCGGTGCAATATCTTCGCGCCGTTGCCGGCCGAAATGCAAATGTTATGACCGTATTCGTATGAGTGACGTTGGTGATGAAATGTAAACTGAGCAAAGAGAACTCAAAGACGTGAATGTACTAATGAATGCGAGTGAGGCTTCTCTAGTCACGGGCATGTAAAGGCATTTCCGATCAATCCCCTAAAAAATGATGGAGTATCCAACCGAGAAAACCTTAGTGGAGTATTTAAACTCCACTGATTTTGGTCGGTTCTAGCCGATCCCGTAAACTTAACGAAGTAAAACGTAAATTTGCATAAATTCAATCTAGTTTCAACAAAATTTGCATACATTTAAACATAAGTTCAACATACATAGTCTTGACAACCGAATATTAAACATAAATTTAAACCTAAACTAAACTACACTAAAAACTACTCAAATTCAACGGCCAAAGTGGAGGTCGAGCCAATCCTTCCTCGCCAGGCCACCCTCGGTAAGAGCTGGGTCCGGGCCGGTGCCGTCGTCGGGGAAGACGATCCGCCACCGCTCGACATCGATATCGTTCTCTC